GCCCGGCCACGCTCTGCTCGGCGTCCCGGGTCCTCGCCCCGGCACAGGCCGTGTCCGGTCCCCTCGTCCTACGCCACACGTTGCCCCAGCGCAGGCCGCTGCACTCCCTGCGGCCCCTGCCTTCCTGGCCGCCCCTTTCCCCGGCAGTGACCGCAAGAGAGCTGACCTGTCCTGCTGGGCCGAGAGTGGCCACCAGCCCCTAGGGTGGGAGGGGCTTTCTGCGAAGCGCTGGACGGGGGCCCTGGACCGGCTACAGCCCAGCCTGGCCCTGCGCCCTCTGCGGTCGCTCTGCCAGGGGCTGCTGGCCGGCTCCTCCACGGGCAGCACGTGCTCACGCCCCACGCTGGACCATAGTGCGCGGCTGCCCTGCGCCAGACAAGGCCGACTTTCCCATGGGTGTGCAGGCTCCCGCCCAGGCCTGGCCGTGCCCCTCGCTGGTCAGTGCAGGCGCCCCAGGCCCGTCTGGGTGCCGCTGTGCCGCCCCTCCCCCGCCGCCCCTCCGGGCCCCAGCCTGTCACCACTGCACTCCGGCCTGGCCAGCGTCCCTGAGGAAAGACCCAGGGCCTGGCCCTGTCCCCATGCGTGGACATCCTTGGGGGCTGGCCAGGCACCTCGGGGGCCTCGGCGGAGCGCTGGGGGAGGGGCGGGCTGGGCAGCAGCAGCAGCACCTTCGGGCCCCTCCTGCCGCAGGCTCACAAGCCCCAGGGCGATGCGGGGCCTGGCCCAGGGCAGCCCTGGCGCTGCAGGTGCACGGCCGCCCGCGACGCCGCCGCGGGTTCAGGCTGGCCTCTGCTGCCCGCCTGTGGTCGGCGGCGTGGGCGCGTCGCCTGCCGGCCCCTCCCCCTCCCGCCTGCCGAGCGCGTCTGTTCATCAGCCTTCTGTTTTCTGTGCTTTCGGTTTTATAATTTTTCCCAGTAAGGTTCAAGATTTCTTGCCTTTTAAGGGCAGAAAACAGCCGCCGCCTCCTGGTGACTTCCGGCGGTTATTTCTGGAGCCGGCTGCGAGCGGCCTGGCGTCGGGAAAGACTCCCGAGCGCTCCTCTCTTCTCCCGCCAGCTGGCCGGCTCGGCGTCCCTGGAGGGGAAGGGGCAGCCGAGGTTCACGTCGGGGCGCTGGAGCCCCCACCACAACTGCAGCCAGGTGGCCACGGCCAGCGACACCACCGTGCGGGGCTGGGACACCCGCAGCATGAGGTCAGTGTGGGCGCGGGCTGCGCCCCGCCCCGGCCTGGCCCCGCCCCCTGACCCCTGGGTCCATCCATACCTTTCCGCCTACCCTGCAGAGGACACTGGGCGTCTTTTGGCTCCAGGAGGGCCACCCCCTGCGCGGTGCCTGCCACAGCCCCGCCCCATCGTGCTCTGGCCCCGCCCCGGCCTGGCCCCGCCCCCTGAGCTGTGGCTGCCCCAGGAGCGGGACCTGCGCGACGTGGGCGACTGGAGGAAGAACATCGAGGAGAAGTCCGGCATGGAGGGCCGCAAGAAGATGTTCGAGTCCGAGTCCTAGGCCCCGCGCCCGCACGGCGCCCGTGGCTGCCAGCGGAGCCCGCCCGC